CCGGACAGGGAGTGCCCCGGACAGGCGGTGCCCCGGCCAGGCAGTGCCCTGGACAGGCGGTGCCCGGGGCCGCGGTGCCAGCCCCAGCCCAGCACGTCTGCACTCGTCTCCACTCTCAGAACCAGCCACTACTGCCCACTTGGGCTGGCAGGCTCTCTCCTGAGTGTTGAGGGCAAAGAGCCCAGCCCCGGGGCTGCTGGTCCTGAGGCCCCCTTCCCCTACCGCCCTGCTGGGGGGCAGGCACCACATCAGGAGCTGCAGGCCTGGGCACCCAGTGGCCGGGCTCTGAACAGTTCGCCTCAGCCGTGACCTTCCCATAGAGTTGGGCTGCGGCTTCCCCCACCAGGCTCAGCAGCTCCAGCCTGGTCTCCATCGGGGCTGTGAGCTCATGGGGTGGCGGGAAGTAGCCTCTGACCTATTTTGACTTTCTGCATTAAATGCCAAGATCTAGAAGCTGGCACAGGGGTCTATACTGGGGTGTGCTCCATACGGGGGGTGGTTAGGCCAGGGCTCGGGAGATGCTCCTGAGGGCCTCTGCAGTCCCCACTTGCCTGTGGGGGTTCCCACAGCAGCAGAACTGGGCCTGGAGGTGACACACGGCCTCCGTCTCCCTGCAGAGAGGCCAGACTTCTCAGATGCCATCATTCTCCGGAAAGGGGCCTCTGTGGAGCACGTGGTGAGTGACAGGTGCCCGGAGAAGGGGCGGGCCTCTTCCACAGGATGGGGTGGGGCTGCTGCCTCCCTGGGTAGGTGTGTCGGCCTGTGTGTGAGACTCAGCACACAGGGCCCTGGGTGGGCACGGTGAGCAGGGCCGGCAGCAAGCCCCGGCGCCCTCGAGGGCTTCAGGAGGCACAGCTGGGGCTTTCTTGTGTCTTCCTTCCTGATCATATGGCCCCTAGACCCTCTCTCACTCCTGACCGCAGGGCTGGGGGCTCAGCATTGCCTGCTCTTCTGCCCCCCACCCGGCCCCAGCCTGCCAGACCAGCTCCCACCAGGGCTCCCACCTTGGGGTCAGCAGGTGCCAGGTCAGCTCCCAGAGCTGCATAGTCACACACAGTGGGGGGGGTCTGATGGTGCTGGGTCTACACAGGTCAGGAAGGCAGCCTGAGCTGGTCAATGGGACGAGCGGACTTGGGGAGCGGCCCAGCGGCCAGAGGGAGTAGGGGTGTGCTTCCCCGATGGGAGCTGCCATTGAGTGGGACCCTAGGGAGCTTGGGACAAGGCCAGCCGCACAGCCACTCCTCCCTGGGTGTGCCTTCCTGGGCGTTTCCCTCCGGCTCCCTGCTCAGGATCTGTGCTGTGGAGGCAGGGCGTGCTGTGAGACCCTCCTCCCTGTGGCCTCATGCAGTCCTTTCAGCAAGCCCTGCCCAATGGGGAGGATCCTCAGGGCCTAAGCTTGTAAGTTAGAGGCCAAATATAATTGGGGCTGCTTGGTCCCCTGCTGGGGGCCCAGCAGGCTGGAGACAGGTGCTCGAGTGTGGGCCCTTGCTGCGGTCCCCCTGCACCTGCTGGGAGCACTTTCATGAGCCCTCTCAGGTCCTTGTAGGGAAGAGTGTGAGACGCCAGCAGGAGGGTGATCCAGGCAGTGGGAATAGCAGGTGCAAAGCCCAGAGGCGGAGTGAGGGTGGAGACGGGGAGGCAGAGGCAGTAGGTTCTGAGCCCCAGGGTGAGAGGCTGAGGGGTGGGGAGAGGCTTGGGGCTCACTCCAGGCTGGCACCCAGAGGTTTCAGGTGGGGCTTGTTGAATGAACAAATGCATGAGACCAGACTACAGGCCCAGCCCCCACTATCCTTCTAAGGGCTGTAGGGCACCAGGGTCCCCTGGAGTCCCACTTTGCCCAGCAGTCACCCCCTCCAAGCTCACCATCTTCACAGGGACCTCCCTCCGGGACACTCAGCTCTCCTGTACCACGGAGTGCACCTAATGGCAGGCCCACAACAAAGACCCAGAGCAGACAACCAGGTGGTCATTGGAGCCGCCAAACCTGGGGGCATGCCCTGGCTCCCGTACCTGTGCCTCCGTTTCCTCCCGTGGGTAGCTGGCCTGCAGCACATACAGGCCCCCGCTGCTGAGAGCTGACCGGACCTCCCCCGAGGGGCATGACTGTGACAGGCCCTGGAACAGCGGACACTTCAGGGCTCTGAGGAGTGCTACACAGCACGCTCTGGGGGCGAAGTCTTCCTGCTTTCTAACATGCGCTCCCATTTTCTAAACACGGACTCGGACGGCCTTCCGTGCTCCCCTGTTGCTAGAGTGTGAGGACAGAATCCTCTCCCACGAGAAATTCAGCGAGTGCTCTGGGGCCGGTGGCTTCTCCTGATAAGGCTGGGCCTTTGCGTCAGACACCAGGGCCTGGTGGGGCCTGTGGCTGACCTTGGAGCTCAAGCCTTCAGCCTCAGGAGTGAGCACAGACCCAGTGCTCCTCCATTCCTCTAGGTTTCCAGAGAATCCCATGACCTTGTGGCCCTGCTTTTTCAGCGTGATCAGGGGAGTTCCTTTTTATTTTATTTCTACAATAGGCAAGCAGAATAAAACCAAAAATTCATTTATTGGCAGGCCAGATCTGACCTCGCTGTCAGTTCATTCTCTGGTCCAGATAAACACGGCATTGGAATTGTAACTGGCAGCAGCACTGTCCTCACAGCCGTGGGGTCCCGGGGTGCCCAGGGGAGACTGGTCGGTTGGCTTTCCAAATATGAGGGACCTTCAAAACGTTTGTGGAAGATGGAACCCAAGTATGAGTTTAGGGACCAGCAGATGGTGTAATGGTTACATCGCTGGACTCCCATGTCATTGACCGTTTCAGACCCGGTGGCTTGAAACTCATGCCAGGCGTGTGTGTGTGCGTGCCCAAGATCCCAGGAGGAAAATGGAGAAGGGATTGCAATGTGGGCATCCTCCCTGGGAGGTGATCTCTTACTTTCTGTCTCTCTGGCGAGTGTACACGCCCTATAGCAAAAAATCTCTTTCCCACCAAAAGTTATTTTATTTATTTCCATTTGTCATTTTTTTAACCTGACCAGAAAGAGATGGGGAGAAAAAGGGAACACGAGAGAGCAAGTCACTAGGTCTGGGACTCAAACCGCGGCCAGTTACATGGAGTCCAGTGTCTCCTCCACCGCGCCACCTGCCAGCTCTGCAAAATCTCTCTCAAAAAAAGAAAGTACAAACTTATTTTGGTGCAAAAAAGTTTCGAAGCCCATGGTAGTTTCTTTATAACGCACATCTTCTGTGACGTAGACCCCTGTGTGCACAGGAAGTGTTCTGCAGGCTGACGCGGCCTCCTCCCCGCAGATGCTGGGGGAAGGCCCTGGGTGCTGGGGCAGCTCGCTTGGTCTTCCTGCCGTCTCCACCTGCGGCCGTCACTGTGGTGGAGCTGGGCACAGCCCACACACCGGGTGCAGTCGTGCATGGGCGGCTGCTGTGGGCCTGGGCTGTGAGCACCTGTCCTGGCAGCCGCTGCTGCCTGGGCCCACGGGGGATGGCCGAGCTGGGAGTGGGGTGGGCAATAGCTCTGTCTTCCTGACTGATGCCCTCCTGTCCTCCAGTGCCACCGCATCCACCGGTCGCTCGCCAGCCAGTTCAAGTATGCCCTGGTGTGGGTGAGTCTTGGGGATGCTGGCGGGGCTAGGCACCAAGCAAGGCGTCTGCACGCCTCTGGGCATGTCCGTGGGTCTGTCCCGCTCCATGGGGTGTGCAGGCTGGACAGGGCCCTGACCTGTCTCTGAGAGGGATGGCGCGACCTCTGGGACCCCATGTTGTACTCTGGCATTCACCCCCTAACACGCACAGCCCCTGCCTGGCCTCAGCTGGGCTGGAGGGTGATGGCGGCCCCTTTGCCCATCCCCACCCAGGGTACCAGCACCAAATACAGCCCACAGCGGGTGGGCCTGACCCACACCATGGAGCACGAGGACGTCATCCAGATTGTGAAGAAGTAGCCACCCCCGGGGCCTCCCTGGGGAGTCAGACCCCTGGACACGAGCCCTGTCAGGAGGAATGCAGATACCCCCGGGAGGGACCCGCACACCTGCTGCTTCCAAAGTGGCTTCATTGGCAGATGAAGAGCACTGGGGCTGAGGCCAGGGCACTGCCCATGAGACCCTGGGGGGTTCTGAGTCGGGGCCCTGGACCCGTCCCTCCCCTCCCCCCTTTGGACATTGAGGGAGCATGCTTTCCATGTGCCCCAGCCAGGGCCTGAGGCAGGGCAGTGCCAGAGCGGTTGTCAGCTCCCTGGGCCCACAGAGATGGTGGGCACTGTCGGGTGCTGACGGTCCCCCGCTCCTCCCAGACGAAACCCACTCAGGTGCCCCAGCCCTGTAGGGCTGTCCCATGTTGGAAACCAGAGGTCGGTGACGTCAGCCCGACCTGCACCCTCTGTAGTTGGGCAGTGTCCTAAAGTGCCTCCCCCTGCACCCCAGGGGGGCCCTGCCCAGCGCAGAACCCTGGACCCGGGACTTGGACAAGTTTGGGTTCTCTCTTCTCTCCAAGCCACCT